CACACTTAGCTTTTGAGTTTACCTTACCATTAACTAAATTTCGTAGAATCTTTCAAAGTGGTTTTGCGTTCCATAGCCCTCTCTGCCGTCTGTTTCCCCCTGCCTCAATCCATCTTTCGTATGTCTCATCTCTCTCTTAGCCAATCCATCTTCTCAATGCACTACTGCGCGCGATACACGACCATTTTCTGCTCGTTTGCGTTCCTACCTCAAAGTAATTACTGGAAAACACTAATTAGCTGAAAATTATGGAAACTGTGATAATCAGAGTGGATTTGCTGTTTATGAAAAAATTCTATTGTAGTTAATAAAATTTTTCAGCAGAATTGGCAACATAATGTCTTGAATTCTGTCTATCTTTTCAGCAAGAGAAATTAGCAAATTTCTAATATTTTAAAAACACATTCTAAGGATTTTCTGAGCAAGTAAACTGGCGCAAGTAATAGTCGACTATTTATGTGGTTGGCGCTTGTTTGTCGGGTGATTCATATGCGACGCACTGAGGCGGGTCGAAATTCAGAGTGACAATGAGCTGATAAAGACGATAGATAGAGGCATGTGAGTGATGGCGTAGCGTCGGACCTCCAGCACTTTATAAACCTCAACCTCAATTCGTGGTGGATGAAGAAAGATAGTTGAAGGCCGGAACTTGATATACGTGCGTGCAGAAACCCCAGCATACCATTGCACGTGAGAAATGTTGCCTTTTGCACTTCATATCGGTCAGAGAAATCTTGTAGAAAATCCAATTTATCATAAATTCTTTACGCGCTGCAGTTTTCTTTCAGTTTTGTGTTTCACATTTTTCAGTCTCATGGCCTTGCTCACATCTTCATCTATAATTTAAATTAGTCACACTCTTTAAAATATCTATGTAGGGTAACTGCGCGTGGGGGGGCATGGTGCAGTAAAAGTGAGTATGTCCGACTGTTTGATTTGAACAAAAATGACTTAATTTATCTTTTACTTCATTTAGCGAACTCTTCAAAATTTTGCTCCTTCTTATGAAAACTTGGAGCGGTCCTCTTCAAAAAACTACTAAAACAACTTGTAGAACCTGTTCATGTGAATTAATGCCTTCTCGATATTTAATAATAATCTTCGGCGCATAATATTCATAATTATTCATCTATCTAAACTTCTGAAGCATAGATTGACCCCAGCTAATTTAGATGAAAACGCCGTAATATCTGGCTCATTGATGATGATATTATATCTGAAATAGTTTGCTATTATACGGTACTACAAAATGATTTACGAGTTACTATTTCTCGGGTTTGTAATTGTCGAGTTTCATCAAAGCTTGATTGACTTTTTGAGCAGTTCTAGTGTCATAAATTACTTTGAAACTTTGTAATAGTAGAGTTCAAAAATAATGCTTT